ATTCAGCACATCTGTTTTTTGCAGCGCCAATCAAGATCTTGTTTGCGAGGAAAGGCGCATCAACGAACTCAACCTCTCAAGGACGCCAGATCGGTTAAAGGCCATGCTGCTGTTTGTGCCAGACGCAACACAGCCGCCTGAAAGAGCAGAATGGGCAGCTTGCTTGACAGGATCCATTTTGCTGGACAATTCATGCCTTTCAGGGACTGGCGTTGTGGTTGCCTACAAGAAGCTCGACAAGTCCAAAGGCAAGATTTTTCTTACCGACCAGTTCAAAGAAAAACACCCAATGATCGCAAAACTACTTGTGGACTGCAACAATTTTAAAACAGCGAAGAACCAGACGGTGGCCAAGTATATCTTGAAGACTTCGCAGGAGGTTGCAGACGACGAGGACGACCCAAAGAGTTTCACCAAACCGGGGTTTTTGGAACATATCAAGAAAATTGATATGAAACGCTCGGGGATGATGCATCGATCTTAAACCCAGATTGATGAACCAGGGGTGAAAAACAGAAGGAAGCGTCGTCACATTCATCATTGACATTGAATGAGGGGTAGTCATTGCCATCCACACATCATTGAAGCATTGACGACGGCATTCCATCAAAGCCCTGAAGAAGGGCTTTGACGGGTAGTCGTCGCCATTGAAGCATTGAAATTGACGACGACATTCCATCAAAGCCCTGAAGAAGGGCTTTGACGGGTAGTCGTCGCCACCCAAGAATCTAGCATTGAGTCCATCAAAGCCGCATTGACGACATTCCATCAAAACCATGAATGAGTGAGTGACTGAGTGAGTTGAATTGCCGCCGATTCCTTTACCATGCCGCAGCCAATGTTGAGAAAAGCGACGTGAAAACGAAATGACAAGAATAGACGAAGCACAACTGTCAACCTCCACTGTCAGCTGCAACTTTCAACTCGAACTGACAACTGTCAACATCAGCTTCAACTGTCAACTTCAATGAAACTTCAACTGTCAACTCTTCAACTGTCAACCTCTGTCAGCCTCAGCTGTCGACTTCAACTTTCAACATCAACTGTCAACTTCAACTTTTAACTTTCAACTGTCAATTTCCAGTGTCAACTTCAGCTGTCAACTCGACTTTCAACTTCAACCTCAACTGTCATCTGCCATGTCAAGCGCCGTCGATGATGATGAGGCGGCGAGGGCCCGCATGTTCGTGCTAATGGGCTGGTCCAATATGAAGAAACTGGGCGAAGGCGGTATGGGGGCCGCTTATCGGGTCACTGGCAGGGATGGCACCTACCGCGTCATCAAGGTGAACAAGAGAGACCGTGAGGGGGATCCAGCCCAAGAACTGGTTGAGGAAGGGGAAACGTTGAGAGGCTTGAGGCATCCGAACATCGCCCAGCTGTTTGACATGACAATGACGAAGTCGGGCGTCGCCATTTTGAACATGGAATACTGTCCAGGTGGCGACCTCTTCCGACGCCGCTTGGTATGTTTGGATTTGGGTACTTAGGCTTGTTTTTCGGTTGGTATTTTGTTTGGTAAGTTTTCTTATTTTGTTTTTTCATGTTGAATTTAATTTTTAAGTTTGGTTATTCTGTTTGGACAGGCATCCACTTTGGCATGGACATCCCAGCCCAGCTCTGTCAGAAGTGGACGTTGCACCTTACGTCGGTGACTTGACTTCATTGATTCATTTTGATGGAGGCCTTGATGGACCTTGACCATTGAAGATGATGACTCGACTAATTTGATGATTTTGATGTGAATGAATGAGTGAATGAATTATGAATAAATGAATGAATCAATGAATGAATGAATGAATGAATGATTGAATGAATGAATGAATGAAGGAAGGAAGGAAGGAAGGAATGAAGGAAGGAATGAAGGAATGAATGAATGAATGACATGGGGTTAAGTTAAGTTAAAAGGCTATGATCGGGGCTTACGTGACTGTCACTGAGGCACTTTACCACTGCCACAAACGATGGCTGGTGCACTCCGACATCAAGCCTCAAAACCTGCTCTTGAGTGCGCCGAACAACGATGCAACTCTGAAGTTGGCCGACTTTGGTGTATGCTTCGAGCATCAGCGGAGTGGCGGGTGGGCAGGCACGGCTAATTATTTGCCCTCTGCAGTGTTGGAAATGCGCCAGCCAGCGACACTTCTCATCGAATCTTGGTTTCGAATTAACACAATTAATCGGGGCGACGAGCTTGTCGTGTTGAAGGCTTCATTGCCAGCCACGCTTAAAGAAAATAATAATAAGGCAATAACTATTATAATATGGCGGCCACTGACTGACCCCCAGGACTACTATGGTGCTGCCTGCTGCATATATGAGATGGTGGAGAAGAATGTGATGAACGAGGCTGCGGATCCGAGTTTGCGCCCGCCTGGGAGACCAAATCTCGAGTCGGTGAAGTGGCGGCACCACCAGGGCGTTTTGAAAAAAACCCTCGACAAATTCATCGACATCGACAACCCCAAAGCTGTACCACAGATGGCTTCGAACATCATCAAGGACTTGCTGAATGCTGTGGAGTCAAAGGTGAGCCCTCCAGTAGAAACTTGGTGTGTTAGATAAATTATGAATAATTATGAATGACTTCAGTGTTTTTTTAACATAGTTTTAAAATTAGTGGTTTATAATTAAGGGCAACCCTGACTGACTCAGGAAGCTGATGGGAGAGCGGAGAGGATCTACCAGCTGGCCCGAAAGAGGGGCGAGGAGACGCCAGAGCTGAGGACGCTAGTCGCTTAGCTTTAACTTATTGTTTTTCAACATGCAGTGCAGATTGAATTTGTCGTCGTTGTCGTTGTCGTTGTCGTCTTTGGGGTTTTCGATATTTTTGTGTCAGGCAAACCAGGCGCGAAAGGCAAGACGAAAGAATAAAAGGGCGGCCAAAAGGACGACGGCTGCTGCTTCAACGGCCGCGCCAGCAGATGATTCCAACGACGACGAGGCTGAGGACAATAATGATGACAATGACGCCGAGGAGAAAGGCGACGTTGTGGCTTGACTAAATTGAAACAATTGGATGGGCTCGAAATTGATCATCATCAGGACTTTAATGGACTTACTTTTAACTTAACTGAATGATTGATTTGACTGATTTGAAGATGATGGCTCTGTCAGGCTGAGGGCCCCGTCGCCACGAGCCAGCTTGCAAGCCGACTCGTTGCACTAATGAACGAGGATCAGGGTCTCTACAAGAACAAGCTGCTAGGCTTGAAATATCTTGAAATCAATTCATGTCAGTCGTCGTCGTCGTTTCAAATGATTTTTAACCATTTAAATCAGACATGATGATGATGATTTATTTCATAATTGCTGTCAGGTACTGTAGCAATGCACCATGGCGGAAAAAACCAACTTGGCCCAGGACTGCCCCGGCCGACTTGTGACTGGTCCTGGTCAGTGACAGAACTTATTATTTAAACAGGTTTTTGAAACAAATTAAGGGCATAACCGCTGGGTAACGGCTATACGCTGGGTAACCGCTATACGCCGGGTAACCGCTATACGCCGGGTAACCGTTATACGCCGGGGTACGCCGGGTAACCGTTATACGCCATAGCTTTAAGTAAGTAAATTACATCAGGGTAACGGTTATACGCCACTGGCGAGAGCCCCCTACTAACGGAGGGGGGGGCTCTCGCCAGGGCCGCCAAATTGAAATTTACAAAATTGATGTTTTTCAGTTTTTCAATTTTTCCCCAGCTGACTGCAGGAAGTGACGCTGGCACTGCCGCGGCTTCAATGAGAGATTGGCATCTCAGCCGACGACGGCTACATCCGTTGTTGTCAGTGACCCTGATTGGACTGACGGGCTGATTAAATTTAAGTGATTAATAAATGACTTGCTGACACTTCAACTTCGACATTGACATTGATGTTTTCAAGTTTGATGATCATCTCAATCATCGCATCTTCATCAGTGCTGCCAGTCAGCCGTAAATAACTTTATAATCAATTTAATGATTATTGTTTAATCAGAAATTAAGATGGCAGCTGAAGTAAAATTGTTAGTCATTTGGCCCAATCGGGGGGATTTGAGACGGCAAGGATATCGATGCGCTTCCAAGTTTCAAAAGCCCTGGCAGCTGAAGGAGCTGAACTATTAAAGTCACATTCATGTTTTACTTCAAAAAAGTCGCCTTAAATGACGGTTGTCCAAGACATGAATGATCCCCACCCTTCAGCTTTTTAAGACCTTGGGCTGATTTGTGAAACGGTCGAAGTCGCTGTCTTAGACTAGACAGCCTCAGCGGCGGTGTGCCCAGAACTCAGTGACGCCAAAGAACGTTTTGTCCAAACATTATTATTGTATAAAGTCGGAATGAACTGAACAGCTTTATAAAATAATCACATGCCATGCAAGTTCCAGCAAGTAGCTTAGACTAATACCTGCCACCACATCACTGAGAAGACGCAAGGACTGCAGCAATGAAATTTAAGACAGCGGGCAAAAAAAGAGTTTCTTTCTGGTGATGACTGATGACATGATGACTTCGGTCATGACACAGCTTCCGATCAAGCTTGCAAGCCCTGAAAAGTCCTCAAGAAGGTCTTTTTCAGGCAAGCTTGGTCGTGGAACTTCATCGCAATCAAGCCCTGAAAAGTCCTCAAGAAGGTCTTTTCCGGGCAAGTTTGTGGTGGAACTTCATCGCAATCAAGCCCTGAAAAGTCCTCAGGAAGGTCTTTTCCGGGCAAGTTTGTGGTGGAACTTCAATGCTTGCAAGCCCTGAAAAGTCCTCAAGAAGGTCTTTTCTGGGCAAGCTTGCTATTTATATTATATTATTTTACACGTTGTCGTCATCGTGTCGTGACCGAACTGCATGATGACAATGATGAAGACGATGATAAGAGGACTAAGTGAAGGCAAAGTGAATCTGAAGATAATGATGATAATGATGATGACGATGATAATGATGATGCCAATGACGACAATGATTCTGATCCGCGGATGCTTCAGTGGTTTTCGCCTCAAGCGTTAAGTCCTACTTCTATTCTGAGCCATGTCGGTGAATGCTTCGAAGTGGAAGCTGAACAAAAAAGAAGAGAAGATGGTGGCAGAGGAGGCTGAACAGCTTCATGAAAAGCTGCTGGGGGAAGGGGTGGCAAAACAACAGGCAGCAAAACAAAAAGATGAGTTCACCAAGAAGCGATCGTTAGAGATCAAGCAGCAAAAGGCTCAGGCCAGTGCTGCGCGCAAAGAAGCTGCGGGAAAGGCACCCGAAACCATCGCCACCGCCGCATCAACTACTGAGGTGCAGTCTTCTGCCATCATGGCAGCAACACCAGTGTTGAACAACGCCTACTTCCAAGAGATCCAAAAGGCTTATGGTGTGGTCACCAGCCACTTCAAAGGCATTGAGTCGGCGGAGCCCCTGAAGATCACTGGCGATGCGGCCGAGCAAAGCGGGTGTCAGGCAGGGCTCCATTAACTACTGATCCAAATAACCAAAATAACTTCAGTGAAAATATATTTAATTTGAATTGAACATTCAAACTTGGACGTTCAAAGTTAAGCATCGCCGCAGGCAGTCTTCAATGCCGATGAAGCCAAAATTAGCTTGACCCGCACAGGCTGTTACCGGGCAGCAGGGAACATTTTCAACTTAGACCTGTTGTTCTCACCCACCCCAACGGTGCCACTCAATTTGTCAAGGGTGCAGGCTTGGGCTGACCATGCTTTCTCCGATGGCCCCGTTCATTTGAGAGACTGCACTGTCGTCATGGTGCCGACGCCTGATGAAGACATCGTGGGATTGAAAGGTAAGTGGAAGCAGGTGTCTCCCGAGGAACTGACTCATGGATTCATCCTCAAGCTGTCCCAACGGATTCTGGCAAAAGGGCAGGTGGCCGCAACAGAGGATGAACTCAATTTATGGAAGTCAGTGGCTTTAAGCTGGCCAATGCAGTTTGAGGTCATTCTTGGGGAGGACAAGTTGTATTGGCCCCCCTGGCTGTAAATGTTGTTCAGCTCGCATTGTTAAGTTAGTCAGCCGGTTCCCGTTTTTGCACCGGTCGTGCCAACATAATAATGATAGTATATGATAGTTAATAATATCATAATAACAAAATAATAAATAATAAGCGGCTTGCCTTCAACTAAGGGCCAGCTACAACTGTCGCCAACAGATCATCCAGAGGAACGACAGCATCAAACGAACTTGTCGGCAATTATGCCATGAAATCGTTGGGGTCCGTGAGCGCAAGTCTCAAGAGATTGGTGAGCCAGTGACAGTCGACAAGCTACAGCAGCTTTACAAAACCCAGGCCATGCAAGCTGAGTCCACCAAGGTTGAGTTCAGCGACAACTTTGTGAGCAACGCCATCATGATCTATGACAAGATTTTGCAGGACCCGGGCTGCAACGAAGTCTTAGATGCCCTTGAGGGCAAGTTCAGCCATGGCTCGTGTCTCAACAGTGTGGCGAAGCTCAAGATTTTGTTGGACAAGACAGATGATCTTGCAATGCGCAGGTTTGTTCTCAACGCCCTGTGGGACAACATCGAGTCCGGTCAAGTCGCGAATGAGCAGGCCAGCCAGCCCAGTGACACTCCCAGTGACATTAAAAACCTTTCAGCTTTCAACCTTTAAATTTAATAATGAGCAGGCTCAGACTTAGCCCGTCATCGTCATGGGCTTCTCAGGGCCGTAATTTGATAAGACTAGCTTGGGGACAGATTGTCAGTCAGTCAGTGGCGTCGTCATTCCAAAAAAGAATTGGACGTGACTTACTTGCAGGTCACTCAAGGATACCTCAAAGGAGGCCAGAACTCAGCATCCGCAATCGAGTTGATCAAGTTCAAGAAGAAGTGTTTTGACTACTTACTGGATGTGGAGATGCACAGGCAGGGGTTTTGCCCACAGGACTTGACGCTCCTACGCTCCAAGATGTCAGACCACAAGAGCTTTCGAAAGAACGTTGCGCCGCTGGAGGGCACTCCGATGAATGGGTGGCAAGCATCACTGAAGCAAAGCTCCATGCTTTGCCTGAAGCTTCTCGAGGAGAGACCAAATTTTGATCTTAAGGCCAAAACTGTTTTATGAATTAATTTGAACTTGATGTTTCTTTAAATACGCAAGGACTTGCTCTACACACCCACATTCAATGGCGCTGCTTTGGCCGTCTTGAAAAAAGGGGGGAAGCAATCGTCGCCTGCCGAGATGTTGGAAGTGGAATCCTTTAATCAGCGCTGGCAGCCCTGCTTGAAGAAGAAAGACGATGAGATTGCAGCGGACAAGGCTTTGAATGAGATCAACATGAAGAATGCTGAAGAGGAAGAGGAAAACGAGGTGTCAAAGCTTCTTCGAGGTGCTGTAGAAGCAAACCCCAATCGCTACACCAAAGGTTCGATTGAGCATCACTGGGCCACTGCATCCCAAACCTTGGGAATCTACGTGACAATTCTGACCGAGCCCGACACCGAATCGCAGCTGACAAAGCTGATCCTTCAGTCGCCAGTAGGCAAGGGCGAAATCCAAGGAACGACTGGGATCTTCAGCTGGATTAATTTTTTGCATTCCAATGAAAACTAAACCCAGAAGCAATTTTGATCGGTTGGTGTTTGCTTTTGAATTTGATTTGATGATGTCAGTTGATTCAGGAAAGATTGCATTCTCATTCACTTGGATGCCAACTTGATCAGCGAGGCTGCCAAAAGGCCAGACAGGCGCCCCCCTCCCTTGACAGAATCGATGGTCAAAAAGCTTTGCCATGCTGCCCTGCTTGGGCGAGGGGCCCAGCCAGTGGGCAAGAACACGTACCCTGACCTCCCAGTGCCTGGCGACCTCCTGTGTCTTCTTGATGGTAGCCGAAGCTCTGAAATTCTTACTTCGCCCTTGAGACCCACATTGAAAAATGGCAGTTACTTGCACCAAACTAGTTCTTAGAGAAATTGTTCTATGAACTTCGTTGTGATGGCCCATAACTTTCAAGTCTTGAGGCTTGGGATGCTTGCCGCACTACTTGGAAGTGAAGCCGGTCACAGTTTGCATCAGCGAGGACAGCTTGAAAGACAAGCGCAAGAAGGTGCGGGGTGCGCTGCAACAAGTGCAGACAATGCACCTCATTACCAGTGAGGCGCTTGACAAAGTGATCCCTGATCGGCCTCGAAACCGGTATCCGGGAACCACAAGGGGCAACTGCGTGGCCTGGGTCAGCTTGACCGCCCCAAGCGACCACTGGCAGATGACAGTTGAAGAGAAGTCCGTACTTTACGGTCATCATTGCATCGGCAGTGATGCAGCAGCGGCTGATGATGATGAGAGGAAGGGCCATGAAATTGAACCGGCATTTTTCAATTTCCTCCCTCGCACCTTCTACGAAGATATCCTTTCCACTTACTCAGTGGCAACCTGTCAAATTTACTGTATCTTGTTTTTTACCTTTTATGTTTTCTTTTTTACTTTCTTCATGTTGGTTTCTACTTTGATTGGGTCGTCCAGTAAATCAGTGGTTGGCTTCAGGCCGGTGTGCTCGACCTCACTCCGGGACAAGGTGAACTTGCCAAGGCCTGCTGTGAAAAAAGGATCAAGTACACCGGGATCGCCATGACCACCAAACACCAGGAGGGCCTTCGTTCCAACTTGGTGAAGTGGCTGAAGGGGCAGACCTTTGACTGCATTAATGTATGCGTGTTTGGCTTAAAATTAAACCCTGACAGATTTTGACTGCTGAACTGTTTTGAAAAA